AGCTTCGGAGTGCACCAAATGCTTCGTCACAATTCTCCTTTAATACACTCTTACTCATTCATGAAGTCTGCCGAATTTGGCGGGAGGCCGCATGCAGCCGCCCCCGCTGGGACTGCACTTGGAGCTCCTCTTGAGGCACGGATCGTGTGAGGTATGTGCCGATTTAGGTGGGTACCGCATGCGAACGCCTCCACTGTAACCGCAGGTGGGACCCCTTATGGGGCACGACACGCGTGACTGGTGTGCCGACTTGAAGCGGGGGGCCGCTTGCTCGCGCGTCCACCGGGGCTGTAGTTGGAGCTCCTTGTGAGACATGCGGGCGGGCGGGCCGAAGGGAGGTGGCGGTCGCATGCTCGCACCCGCAGTGGTGCTGTATATAGTCAAATGTCCGGGGGGACGACACGCGTGAGGGGCGTGCCGACTGGAGGCGGTGGCCGCGCGCGTGCTCGCACCCGCAGCGGGGCCGCAGCTGGAACACGACATGAGGCACGAAGCGGGCGAGAGGTGGGCCGAGCGGAGGTGGCGACCGCTCACTCGCACCCGCATAGGTGCTGTATTTGGTGCTCCTTATGCGACACGAAGCATGCGAGGAGCATACCCGATGGAGGCGGCGGCCACATACTCACACCCCCACTGGGGTTGGCGTTCGAACGCGCTGTGAGGCACGAGACATGCGAGAGGTGTGCCGAGGTATTTGGACATCCCTAGGCGGCAAGACCCGCGTGAAGGAAGGGCGTGCCGAATGGAGACGGCGGCCGCATGCTCGCACCCCCACTGGGGCTGTAGTTGCCGCTCCCTAGGCGGCACGACACTCGTGAGGGCCGTGGCAAATGGAGGCGGCGGCCGCATACTCGCACCCCCGCTGGGGCTGTAGTTGGAGCTGTCTAGGCGGCCTGACACGGTTGAGAGGTATGCCGGACGAAGGCGGCTGCCGCATACTCGCACCACATTGGGGCTGCATTTGCAGTTCCCTAGGTGTCACGCAACGTGTGAGGTGCATGCCGAATTGCAGCAGGCAGCGCAGCAGCAGAAAGTGGAGGAGCTGGAAAGAAGAGGACGAGGAGGAAAGAGTCGCGTGGCGCATCGGGCTGAAAACGATGAGTCAATTCCACAAGATATTCGGGGAGATGAACCTGCCCTGCGTGTTGGCTGTCCAGTTGTGACCCTCACCTGCGAGTTGGAGTTCTTGAGGGGTCCATATTCCATGTAATCGTCCGGCGGCCCCAGAACCGGGATGGATCGCTCCAGAGCGTTGCGGAACGCTCTCAGAGCGTTATGGAGCGCTTTGGACAGGCCACGGCGCCCGATACATTTTTCGGAACCGCCGATTTCAGAGATCCCCGACGCATCCCCCTCCAATTGTACCCCTGTCCTGGTTTCGTCTTAACTCGTGTTCATCTGGTCCCGGTCCGAGTTGCCCTCGTATGTGGGGGTGTCTGTGATGGCCCACAGGGCACCGCTCGTGGGGTCCTGGGCTTCGTTGCCCACTCGTGCTGGGGATCTGGCGGTGGCCCATGCGATCCCGCCCATGGCTTCGTTCCTCCTGCGTGCTGGGGCCTCTGCGGTGGTGCAGGGGGTCCTGTCCACACTCGGCGGCGCGCCGAGAGGGAAAGTTAGAGGGAGCGTGCCTTCGCAGAAGGCGGCGGGGCTTCTAAGAAGCCCTCTGGCCTCCTGAGCAGCCGCCCTCCGTGGCTTCGGAGACGGCTTGGAGAGCTTTTCAATAATTTCGCCTTCGAGGACCCATCCGAAGGCATTTTGGGGAGGATGTCTCGAGCGAAACGCTCACTGTTAAACAAAGCTGTTAAAAACCATTGGTTTTTTCAAAAAACCATCAGGATTTTGAGCGGTCTGGGAAGACCCGCCCCCTCTGCCTTCCCCTGCGTTCCCCCCGGGGAGCGCCGCCGACAGTTGCCAAGGGCCCACTTCCGCAGCCCAGCCCGTGGGCACGAGACTGCACAGGAACAGCAAGTGCTCGAGACCACTTTTGTTTGGGGAGGTGTTGTTGAACATATGGCTTCGGTTTCAGGGGTCAGGCCTGTTCTCGGGTGCTTCGTACGTGGTTTGGGATGGTCGCACGCTGTCAATGGGATTTGAGATCTAGTACCGTTGGCATGTATCGAGAAGGCGCTCGGAGTGTCTACACTATGACTGAAGTAAGGTGCTTCGGGAAGCGAACGACGCTCAGCGATTTCAATTCCAAGGAAGTGCACCCCTGAACGGTTCAGCGCCGTGGCCGACCCAAACAGGATGAATATTGTACTAGGCACCCTTTGGGTGAACGCAGATGGAGTTGGACGATTGGTTTCGACCGCGCTGTTCAGACGAAGCACGCGCAAGCACAGGTTGCACTATGCAGGCACCCGGACTTTGCGGAAAGGTTAGCTTCGGACACGAGTACAGCAGCAGGCAGATAGAGAACAATCCAAGCAGCAGCGTCGCGTTGCCTTGCATGAGGGGGGAGGGTGTGCAGGTGGATCACGTCTTGCAGATTTTCTGTTGAGCACTACTGGTGCCGTGGGAGAGCGATCAAATCAGTACTGAAGATCAGGGACTTGCATCTGCAGGAGGCGTGAAGAGCACATTCAGATATGGCCAGGCATTAACGTGAGTCAAGGGGGAGCCATGCACAGGTTTAATAACTTTCGCAGGAAGTGATTCGGGATCCCGGCCAGCGATTGTTTGTCACGGTTTGATGTATTTATTTGATATCACATCCGCCCCCATGATCTGTTCAGGGTTGCGGTTTGCCAATGCAGGCGTCGATTGAGGAAAATAGCAAGAAGCAAGTGAGAAGAAAAAGAGGAGGAGGAGGAGAAGGAAGAGGAGGAAGAGGAAGAGGAAGAGGAGGAAGAGGAGGCAGAGGAGGAAGAGAGGAAGAGAAAGAGAGGGAGAGAGCGAGACGGCCCAGATGCACATGGCACCCGTGCCAGCGCCTCGCGGCAAGCGGCGGGCGCGCCCAGCCTTCCGTGGCTGGGGCGCCGCACGGCGAGAGATGTCGACGCCCTGGCGCGCGCCGAGGCGCACGACCGCCCGGGGATGGACGGAGTGCGCCGGGCGGCGGTCGCGCCTCTGCGCCACGGCCGGGAGGTACGCGGGAGGGCCGCCGGCGGGCGGCTGGCGCCCCCGGAGGGGCCGCCCCCGCGAGGCAGGCCTCGCGGAGGGGGGGGGAGGTGCGGCGAGGCGCCGGGGGCCAGGCAGGAGCGCCGCGCGAGGCCGCGGGTCGGGGGGCGGAGCGCGCCGGGGCACGCCGCGCGCGCTGGGCGGGGGGCACCTCGGCCAAGGCGATCGCGGTCGGGCCGACGTGTATGAGGTTGAGGTCGGTTCGGGGAGGGTGCGATCAGGTTCTTCGTGCTTGTTGGACGCCCTCGTGCATCCCTGGGGGGGGAGGGTGCCCTCGGTGATCCTCTGGTTTCGGCGTGCTTGGGCCGGCAAAGGGTGCCATGCTCTGGGACGTGGGTGGGGGCGCAGCCAGGAGCGGGCGGAGGGCGGCGGCGGAGTGGCGGCGGCACTGGAGAGCGCGCTGGCGCCGCAGCATGGCGTGGGTGGGCCTTGGCGCGGGCGGGCGGCGCGTCGGGGAGCTCAGCTCGGCAAAGCACTGGTGCAGGCGCGGGCGCACGCTCGGTGTGGTCGTCGGATGTTTGCGTTTGCGCGCGTCTGCGCCGAGGATTGCTCTGTGGCGGCGGACCGTGGCTGGCATATCGAGGCGCCGATAGTAGAAGAGCAGCAGACGGCATCAGCACAATTGATCAGCGTCCGCGCGGAGTTCTTGGATCCGCGTTGGGCCCCCCTTGGTGGCGCCTCTGGCGCCGCCCCCGCGCGCTCCTCGCGCCAGGGAGCGGGATCCGGCGCCGATCCAAGACTTCCGCGCGGAGCTCCGAGAGAAAGTGTACGGGTGTGTGCCGTGGTTGTTCCTCGAATGGGGCCTCGGCAGCGGTGGCCGGTGGGCTTTCGCCAGGCGGAGCGGAGCAGCGGGGTCGGAGGAGGCCTTGTGGACGGCAGCCAGGATGCGGAGATGGGTCCGATCAGTGCGATCGGCCTCGGCACGGCTGCGATCGGCCTCGCCTTGCGGACGGGGTCCCCCTGCGGCCCAGAGGGTGCTCGCGGCCCGATGGAGTGCCAGGGCGACTGCGAGGCCTGAGGGCCGAGGGTGCCTGGGCGTCGATGCTTGTGCAGGGCACCTTGCTGCCCGCGACGGCCGGCCAAGGGCATGGCCTGCTCGCCCGCAGAGGCGACCGCATTTGAGTTATTTGGGGGCCCTCTTGAGCAACCTTGTGGTTCTCTTGAGCCCGAAAAGGCTCGCATGCCAGAAACATCGAGCAGCTTGATGCATTTCCTATGGCGTTGGCTACCCGAGGCTTGGTCGTCTTCGAGGCCTGCTGGGCCTGCCATGGCCTTTTTGGGCTGTCTGGGTCGCATCCTGGCGCCCTCTTGGGTGTGCATTGGCCCGGGTCAGAGCACCCAGGGCTCCCGTGCCTCCGCAGGGTTCCCCCGCGCACGGCCAAGTCGTGGAAGCCGACTTCGCCGGGGAGGGTTTGGGGGTGCCGCAGGCGTATCCAGCGCTGGCACCCAAGGGGTCGCGGTTTCGTCGCGGCCTGAATCACCCGAGCAATCGAGTCTGAACGAAATCCGTCAGTGCCAACTGTGCCCAGAGGACGGCTAACCTATGCTTGCTCAGCCGTCGGGCGCAATGTCGCACGAGCTGAAGACTAGGCAAGTCATGGACAGTGACATCGTCCATTTGCGAGGCTTCTGAATCCGCGCGCGCGTCATGTATTAAGATCTTCCGCATGAGCCATCACCCACCTCCACCCCTCGCGTTGCGCTGTCCCAGTTCAGAAGCTAGCGTATCCCAGTTGCGCCCACCACCCTCTGGCACTCTCATCCCCCCTCGGCCATTTCTGAGAGGGAAGTCGGGGAGGATGACCAGGTTGCAGGTTGCAGGGAGCCGCCAAGAGGCGAAGCAGAGCTTCTGTTGCCAAGCTGCCCCCGCCCAGCCTGGGCTGCAAATACACGTGGCCTCCTTCCCATCGCTCCAGAGGCTGCCGGCCTCTGATCGCTCGTGAATTTTCAGACCGGGGGCCACACGACCAGATGGAGAGGTCATGGAAGACGAACCCGCAGCAGGCACATTTGCACCACCGTGCGGGCCCATGGCCATCCAGGGCCCCAGGACAGCGTGCGGATACGGCCTCGGCCGAGAGGGCGCGTACGCCACGCCCTGGCCCTGGCCTGGCATGGTGGTGGTGTGCAGGCTTCTTCTTGGCGGCGAGCAAGGGGGGGACATGAGAAGGAGAAGGCCTTTGTCAGAAGGCGGCGGGACTTCTCAGAAGCCCTCGCGCCTCCTGAGAAGTTTCTGTTTTGTCTCCGGGGACGGCTTCGAAGACTTCTCAGAATGCTGGGGGACTTCCGAACCTTCTGAGAGGGGCCTTCTCCTTCTCACTTCCCCCCCTCGCTCGCCGCCGATCTTCTGCACGACGAAATCTCGTCCCGACGCCCCGCCGCACGCGACCAGGCGGCAGCCTGTCCCCCCCCCAAGAGGTGTCCCCAGGGCCCCAAGACCGCCCGCCCCCGAGGCCAGGCGGGCACACGCCACCCTCCGGGCGGGAGAGGGAGCGCGGGGAGGACAAGGGGGGCCCCCCAACGGGGTGGTGACCACACCGTGTGGTGAGTCCGTGGGGACTCGGGTCCCTCTCCGAGGATGTTTCGGGCGACTGGGGCATCCGAGGTCCCAAAATCGTGAGTTGACGGACCGTGCGGTGAGGTCTTGGGGGATTTCGAGGTCACCGCACGGTCTGTCACCGCACCGTTTCGGGACTCCAAAAAGGGGGGTCCCAGGCCCCTTCGCGTCGGGAAAAGCCGCGACGGCAGGCTTTGGGCAATGCTAGGCCTCTGGGAGCCCTCACCCGGCCCAGGGCCCCGCGAGCAGCGACTCTCGGTGCGAGATCGGTCCCAGGGAAGGGTCGACCTTCAGGGGTCCGCGTCGTGCGAAGAAGCACGACGTCGGGGATGTGGGGTCGGGGTTTTGAGGGATGCTTCGGTGGCATGGGGAGGCATTCGGGGGAAGAGGGAGGGAGGGGAGGGGAGGGGAGTGAGGGACACGTAGACGCGGGGCAACGCTGGGGACGCGTAGAGACGGCGCCAGCTACCACTGGCCCTGTCTCTTGGCGAGGTCAAGCGGTGGCGCGCAGCATCGGCCGCTTGTGCGCACCGTGCCGGGGCGGACCTCCTCACACGCCCGGCACCGGGGGACACCAAATCCAGAGCGGGTTTGGTGCCGGGGCTGCGGAGTTGTGGGGGAGGGGGAGGGGAGGGTGGGCAGAGGCGGGGCAGGAGCAGCAGAGGAGCGGGCGAGGGGCTCCCTCCGTGGAGCGGGCGAGGCGATTCCTCGGCCCGGAGCACGCGGCGTAGCCGCCCCCGCTGGCCGCACTGGCGGGCGGCAGCAGCCGGCAAACGCCAGGGGTCGGTGATCCTCAGGACGTGTATTAGCCCTTTTCCTCCTCGTCCTCCTCCTCCTCCTCCTTCTCCTCCTCCTCCTCCTCCTCCTCCTCCTCCTCCTCCTCCTCCTCTCCCCTCCTCTTCCTCCTCCTCGTCCTCCTCCTCCTCCACCTCCTCCCGTTCCTCCTCCTCCTCCTCATCCTCCTTCTCCTCCTCTCCTCCTTCTCCTCCTCCTCCTCCTCCCCTCCTCTCCTCCTCCCCCCCCCCCTCCCTCCCTCCCTCCTCCCTCCCTCCCTCCCTCCCCCTCCTCCTCCCTCGTCCTCCTCCTCCTCCTCCTCCTCCTCCTCCTCCTCCTCCTCCTCCTCCTCCTCCTCCTCCTCCTCCCCTCCTCCTCCTCCTGCCCCTCCTGCCCCTCCTCCTCCTCCTCCTCCTCCTCCCTCCTCCTCCTCCTCCTCCTCCTCCTCCTCCTCCTCCTCCTCCTCCTCCTCCTCCTGCTCCTCCTCCAGCGCCAGCTGGCACGAGCGCGGTGCTCGGGGCCAGCCAGCGCCACGGGCGCCGCCGGGCGCCGCCGCCCCCTCCCCTTTCCCCCCGCCGTCCCGACACCCTCCCTGGCGGCATGGAGGCGGCCGCCGCGCCTCGCAGGCGCCGGCCGAACCGGCCCGCCGCCGCGCGCAGGGCACAGCAGCGCCGCGCGGAGGGGCGCGCCGTCGAGCGGCTGCTGGCGGCTTTCGCGGCGCTCAGCAGCCACCGCGGCTCAGCGCCCACCCGCCTCGGCGCCGCCCTGGCCGAGGCGCTGCAGCCCGCGGGAACGCGCGCAGAGCGCCGCGCCGCGGAGGACGAGGAGGACCCGCCCCTGACAGCGGAGGCCTACCTCGACCGACTGCGGCGGCGGCGGCGCGCGGAGGCCGAGCGCCACGAGGCGGACCAACGGCAACGGCAGCAGCGGGCGGAGGCCGAGGACCGCGACGCCTTCTACGAGAAGGTGGAGGACCAGCTGCAGGCGAGCCGGAGGGCGCAGGCCACGGCCGACGCGGGGCGCTTCTCGCGGCTGCGCGCGCGCCTGGA